GCCACAGGTGTGGGTTCAATTCCAGACCTGAAGGGCAGCTAGGGGCCATAGTCTCAGTGGTTCCACCAGGCTCTATCAGACCAGCAAACCTGGTCCCTCCCCCCTTTTTTTTTCCAAATGATTTTGAGTTTTGTTCCACATCGTTCTCCCTCTCTGTCCAGGATCTCCTACATAGATCCCCTTCTGAGTGGTTGACAGTGGTAGCTGGGCACCATCTAGTTCTTTTGTTCTCATAGTCATACAGGCTGTGGATCACATGGTGTACCATTCTCTAGGACTAATTCTTTCCATGAGTCTTTCGTTTTCTTAATTCTTCTTTGCTCTGGACGAGGAGAGAACCATTGCTGCATCTAGATGGCTGCTTGCAATCTTTTAAGATCCCAGTTGCTACTCGCCAAAGTAAGAGGTGGAACAATGTTTTGTGTAGTATGTTATGCCAACTGAGCTTGATGAAACAGGACTTTTTTAATTTGAGTAAAACTTTTATAAATTCCTGGATGTTAAGTATGAGTGTTTCTACATATTTTGTATCTAATTACATGCCTTATGTTATACTATATAAAAAAGTATATGTCTAGGCCATGCTTACTGGATTCTATACAAAATATTTACTTGTTTGATTATGATCATTTTATAATAAAAATTACCATACTGCCAAACTATAATCACTTAGTGTGTGTCAAACATGCGACTAGGTAATTTAATGATTTTTAAGAAACAGAGAAAATAGGGAAGAGGTAACAATGGGGAGGGAGTAGGAGGGGAGCTGTTGCATCATGGGAAATTACAGTCAATGTCATGAGACAAAGTATATGTCAGCTGCTGTATGGAAAGTGAATTTGCTCTGTAAACTTTTACCTGTCCAGTTGAATCAGACTAATAGCAACCCCTCCTTGGGTTTCTGAAGGGGTATCTCTACAGAAGTAGATTGTCCAACCTTCCTTCTGGGGAGTAGCTGGTGGGCTGGAAACACTAGCCTTCTGGTTAGCAATCAGATGCCGCAGGCAGTACACCACTAGTGCTCCTTCAACAGAAACAGTCTCCAAATTTCCTGATAATGCATTTAATGCTTAATAATTCTGGCAAGAAAATTTTCCTATCTAAAGTAGGCACCAGAAACCTTTTCTCTGGTTTTTTGTTTTGTTTTGTTTTTTAATTTTTATTATGATTTGGGTAAAAGTGATCAAAGTGTGCTCTGCTACTGATAAACCTTAAGAGGACAGATTTAGGGAATCTTCTGCCCTGAAAGAAAAAAAATAGATGAGCTTGGTAAAATTGGGTATATGAGTGTGTGTGTGTGTGTTTAATCTATGTTCTAGGAACTGCATCATATCTATACTAGTGGGAATGCAAAGAGGAATAAAGTCTTACTCTCGAGAGCCTTTTTAATTAGTAGAGAAAAGCAAGTAAACACAGCAGTGAACTGAGGTGTTTTACAGATGCTGAGTTTGAAGTCTGAATGGTAGATGCGTAAAGGGAGAAATTGGAATCAACTGTGTGATTTTTTTTTTAATTGTCTTCTGTCTACTTTGCTATCAGAAAGAACATTCTTTAAGGACCAGAACTATTTCTGTTTATTCACTGCTTATTCCTTTATGGAGAGCACCACACTGCCTGGTGTACAGCACCATGTTTTGAATTGCTTTATTTTTTAAAATAAAATTATGTATGTGGTATGATCTGTGGGAACTTGGGACATGAGGAAAGTTATCAGGAAAGATGATATGGAGATGATTTGGTGAAATAATTTTTAAAAAGGAAGCCAATCCAGGTAGAAAAAACAGAATAAGCAAACCTAGGAAGGTATGAAATACCTCAGTTATTTTTGAGTAGTTCTGTGAGGTGAAGATAGAGAAGTATATATTTGGATGGGTTGAGTGCTGATGTTGGAGGACATTTTGTGCTAAGGAGCTTGAGCTTTATCCTATGGGTGAACATGCAGGGAATTAACATAATAAAAAGCATACTTTTGAAAAATCTATAGATAATTGAAATCCATATAAGAGTCTTTTAAGGCTCATTCCCGATGGAAGCATCGGTACCTATCTAAGAAAAATGGATTTCTAGGCAGTTATTCAGCCTTCCCCTGGGGTAGTCTAGTCTTAAACTATTGTATCCCTTTGTTTCTATGGTAAAATCATTGGCTGTTCTATTTTAGAACAATTTCTATGAATTGTTTTTCCACTAACTTCTTCATAGGTTGCCGCCACAGTTTGAGTTCTGTTTTTTTCTTCTGTTATGACACTTTAGATTGATTTATCCATAGATGTTTAAAGCAAATATAGTATTTATCACCAATTTGGGAAAAAAAAAAAAAAAAAAAAAACTCAGTTTCTAGGATCTGGGTTAAATTTATATTGTATCGATTAGCAAGTGATTCAGGCTATATGAAAACATGCTTCAAATTGTCATAATGCCAGAACTTTTAACTCTTGGATTAGAAGAGGCTCAGTCCCAATTCATTACCCTGTAAATCCTTCACCCACTGAAAGGAGGCTCTTGTCCCCACTAATGCCTCTAGCCTTGTTAACTGATACCTACAGTATAATATACAGCTTTTACTTTGAAACTGGCATTATATTTATTTCTACTAACTCTGTTCAATGCATTTTGGAAATTATTTCCGCCTGCGGCACAAGAAATATGCTTAGGAACAGCAGGTGGGAAATTGAGATATGTTTTCTTGACCTGAGTTTGAGCCCGGTTCAGTGTGCATATGTGTTTTCTTCCTTGGTGGAGGATTGTAAGTGGATACTAGAAAGAATCCTGATGTTTATCATTACAGGATTCCTCTCTAGCTTTCCCCTTTGGTTTGTTCTTTTTTTTTTTTTAAGTCCATTTGCATGAACATGAAATTAGTGTTGCACCTGGGTTTAGGACTTGACCTTCTTTCTTGTTGTTTTATTGTAATTTTTTCTTAAGTATTCTGCTTATTTATACTTAAATAAAGAACATCCTATGGGGCAGTTTTACTCTGCACAAATGGGGTCACCATGGGTCAACGCTGGCTCGTTAGCAACTAATAACAACAACATTCATGTCCTAGGTCCCTGGGTGGTGCAGTTATTAGTGCACTCAGCTGCTAACCAAAAAGTTCGAGATTCTAGTCTACCTAGAGTACCTTAAAAGAAAAAAAGAAAAGAAAAAAGGCCAATATCAGCCATTGAAAAGCCTTTGGAGCACAGTGGGACTGTAACACATAGGCTGCCATGAGTTGAAGTGGACTTGTCAGCCCCTGAACAGTTACTAGAAAGCAGGTCTTTTTCCCATTTATTTATGTGTTCATTGTGAGTATCAAAGGAGTGTCTGCACTGTGATAGTAGAGCTGTATTTTCACTTGTGTACCTCTTCCTAATAAAAAGGCCATATTATACACAGTATATAATAATCTATAAATACTATATATGGTATACAAAGAGCTCTAATAGAAGCAAATGCACAGCTCTAGGGAAATACAGAGGAGAGAGCAATGAAATGGGACCTGATATAGTCTATGTTGGTCAATGTCATGGATTGAATTGTGTCCCCAAAAACATACATTGATGGCCTGGCCCCCAGTACTTATTTACATGACTTTGTTTAGTAATAGGGTCTGAAGATATTATCAGTTAAGTTAACATGTCATACAGGAGTAGGGTGGGTCCTAATCTAGTATGAGTGGTGTCATATAAAAAGAGAAGAGATACAGATACAGAGACAGAGAGAAGATGCCCATGTGAAGATAGAGATGGCAGTGCTATGTCTATAAGCCAAGGAATGCCAAAAATAGCCAGGAACCATCAGAAGCTGGGAAGAGGCAAAACCTTCAGTGAGAAAATGACCCTGCTGACAAGTTGAATTCAGACTTGTAGCCTCCAGTACTGTGAGATCATCAATTTTGTTGTTTTAAGCCACCCACTTTGTGACACTTTGTTACAGCAGATTTAAGAAATTAATGCAGTCAATATTTAAGATTCTCCTATTTTTAAAGACTTTCTGTCTTAGAAACATTTTTCTTGATATTTTGCCTTCCAATTTATAGAGGTTTCCTAATATGTCACCCAGTGAGTTAATGTCTCCTTGGAAGTACTGGAACTTTCCATTTTCTTATTATCAAAATGTTTTCTTCATCCGGCAAAGAAAAAAAAAATGTCTTGGTCATTTTTTCTTTATTAAATGAACCAAATTTAACTTTTTGTGAAACATTTGAATCTCATTTATTTGACACATTAACTTCCTCTGTTATGTCATTCCCCTTATGGAGTTTATATTGATAACAAAAAAAAAGATGATCCTCCGATCTTTAAAATAGAGAGAGGAGCATGAGATAATATGATTTATCAAAAGGTGATTTTCTCTATCTTGTTTCTAGACAAACAACTGTTCTCTGCTTTTATTATCACTTTGGGACATTTTCTTTTACTGTAAAGCTGTTTCCCATAGTAGAGAATTATGTATGAAGGTAAATATAAACATTGATCCATTACTGAGGGCAGAAATTGGGAATGTAAATGTAAATTATACTTTCTTTCTTTGCAGTGTGTTATTAGCTTTTTATTTATTTCCACTCTTGGTTTATATTCCTTTGCCGATTTGGGCTTCAATGAAAAGAATAAGCATATATTTGATACTTGTTAAATGTCATCCATGTTATTTGTTTATTCTGTTAACCAAAATGTTATTAGAGGAGCAGTGTAAAGTATTTTTGACTGTCTCATCAGTTGCTTAGTTTTTAGTTCTAATCCTAATCTGTGGCCACAGAACCACTGGAATCATATTTTAATGAATACTAAATCCTTTTGCCCCATCCCAAAATAACCAAGTCAATCATAAGAACTGGTTTTGAAGTCATTGTCTTTTACCTCTCATCATGAAGGAGGTTCAAAGTTAGCAGATGGAGACAGCATTAACTGGAAATCAAGAGAAGATGGTTCTTGGTGTGACTTTACCACTAGCTACCACCTTTAATTGGCAATTCATTAAACATTTATTTTCATCATTAACAAAGTAAAGGCTTTGAATCAGATAAACTTTAGGATCATATAATAGACAGAACCTCTGTACCCTCCAAGATGAAATTTTATTACAGCTAGGAACTATACAAATAACTACACCTCACAAAACATAACTAAGTGGCACATAAGATCCTAGGAGTCAAAAGGAAATGTAAGCAAATAAGTTTTTTTCCCATATGCCAAGGCTTTTGAACTCTAAAATAATTCTGTTTAATAATTCTGCACGTACTTCTGTCTAATAAGATCTAAAAATTGTCTGCCATGTAAATTATGGTTTAAATTTTGGGCTAGCTGGCTCTACATCTTGAAATACATATATGGGAGCCCTGGTGGCACAGATGGTTAAGCACCCAATTGCTAGTGGAAAGGTTGTAGGTTTAAACTTACCCAATGACTCTGTGAGAGTTTTCTGCTTTCATAAAGATTAGAGTTAAAAAAAAATAATAATAAGCAGAGTGAGTTGTTGGACCTCTGGGCTCAGGACCATGGTTGCAGGGGATGTCAAGCTCAATTGGCATAAAGTACTACACAAAATCATTTTTCTACATCCTACACTGATGAGTACTGATTGGGGTCTTAAAAGATTGCAAGCAGCCTTCTAGATACAACAGCTGGTCTCTCCTCATCCAGAGCAAGGAAGAATGAAGAAAACCAAAGACACATGGAAAAATTAGTCCAAGGGACTAGTGGACCATGTGAACCTCAGCCTATATGACCACGAGACCAGAAAAACTAGATGGTGCCCAGATACCACTGTCAACCACCCAGAAAACAATCAGTGCAGCAGATCCTGCATAGAGTGGGAGGAAAATGTGGAACAAAACTTGAAATCATTAAAAAGACCAGGCTTACGAGTCTGATACAGACTGGTGAAACCCCTGTGACTATGGCCCTGGGTCATCCTTAGAGCCTGGAGTTGAACTCACTACCTTGGCTTCCAGCCAAACAATAGACAGGTATATATGGTGAACATTTCTACCAGGTAGGTACACTCTTTCGAACAATCAATCATGGGTGATCAGAAGGGCAGTATTTGCCCAGGGAAATAGTTCAGAGGGCAGGAATACATAGGAAAAAGAGACAGGGAAAAGATAAACAGGGAAGAAGTGAGAAGAGAGTTATTACATTATGGGGATTGTAGTCAATGTCATGAAACAAAATGTATATGAACTGTTGTATGGAAAATGAATTCATCCAAATCACAATTTTTTATAAAATGAATAAAACGAACAAGCAAAAAAAAAAAAAAAAACGGTTCTACTCTGTCACATGGTGTCACTGTTAACCTGAATTGACTCGATGGCATCTAACAGCAGAGCTAACTCTCTCTCTAAATCTCTGTCACATGGTGTCACTGTTAACCTGAATTGACTCGATGGCATCTAACAGCAGAGCTAACTCTCTCTCTAAATCTTAAGCTCATAATAGAAATATACATACATATATGTATATATATATGTATGTATACATATACATACATGTATATATACATAAATGTATA